TATGTGTGTAATCTTCATTTGTATAGTGAACTACAGTTGACAAATATATGTGGTGCAGTAAAAAAGGAAAATATTGCCCCTTTAAATGTAATGAAAGTAGAAAGTAGTAAAACTCTACTGCTCTTAACATTGCCTCACATGTTTTAATGTGAAACTTTTCTTGCCCTTTCTCACAAAAACTGTGTTGTATTATGTATTTTACCTCAAGTGCCCTCATGGTTATGTTGTGCAGCTTAATTTAAATACACTTTAGGTCTTACCATTTGAAAAATAATAGCCTTGGACGAAGGGTTCGGTGTTAACGGGTTTAGTGATGGCTCGTTGGTTTCTAAAAGACTCCTGCAGGTACTGTACACAGACATGACAACTCCGCTTTAGTCTGGTCTTCTTTGATTGGCATGTTTAACACGAGCACTCACGCAAACATACACAATCATACGAACATAAGCGCACACATTATTGAATTTTGTCCCTGTGAGGATCTTTCATAAATGACCAAAATCACTTGATATAACCTGCAGAAAGACCAAAATTCAGCTTTAAGGATATTTTTATTGAATGTAGTTGTTGGGATTTTGCTAGTGGTGTTTGGGTGTGGGGGGGGGGGATCCCAGCATAAATGTATGAAGGTTTCACTTGAAAAGGAAATGCGGCAAAGCAGACTTACTGATGGACATTTTTAGGGTTAAAGAAACTAATGGACTACCAAACCAAAACAACTTTGATAGACAGGACCAATGAGGCAACTTAATGCTTCTTATGTCTTCATGAGACTAAAATCTGACTAGAAATGGGTCTGTGAACATGAGCATACAGTGCCCTGTTTTCAAAATGACCAACAGGGTTTCAAACATATCCAAACACTAACTTCAAGTCATCTTAAATATAGCCTTTAAATAAATCGGAAACGTAGATTGCGACAAGGAACGCAAATGTATTATCGTAGTTGGACACAAAGAGGAAAATTAATTCACTTAAGCCACTGACTGTCCTTTTTTAACACTGACCTCATTGAGCACATGAATAAATACGTATTTCTGTACATATATTATAATTATCGTCATCATTTGAGAGACAAATGTACAGTCAATAGAATATTTGAATTTAAGTATATTGTTTTTAATCATTTCAACCCAAATAAACTAAAATTATTTGATGTAGTCTTGTTTTACCCAAACAAAAACATTCTGTTTAGAAGCAATGCAATAGCCTCTGATATTTCTAAGTTAACTGCAAATCATTTTTTTATTAAACATCTCTCCTTAGGATTCAAGTTTGTGTAATTCTAGTGTTTGGGATTTTAAAATCTCTTATTAAACTTAAATGGTTTGAGTGTGAATATCATTGGAGGTATCCGATAAGAATGGCTAACTACGCTTTGTCAAATGGGACAGGAACATTTCTCTTTGCCTGCTACTTGATTTCAGTTTTATGTTGTAGAGTAAAAGCAAGGGGGGTGGTCTTTGTGGTTGGGGGGAGGAATGGTTCTGGTTATTTGTGTTATAAACATTTATTTCCCTTTCCAATTCCTATGACAATTAATCTTGAATGTTATGAATGTTATTACAAAGATGGCACGCTCAAATGCTGACAATATGATTGCCGTTGTTGTGTTTTTCATTTAATTTTTTTTTACAATTTTTCATTTCAAAAGCATGTTTTCTTAACTTCTTTTTAAGGAACCAGGAGTTTCTGGCCCGGTTTAAAGATTGAAAAGTTTAAAGTTTTCAGCAAACAGTCCTTCATTATTAGCGGCCTGTTATTCTCTGTGTCACAGGGATCATTTTGTGGATGTTTTTTTTTTCCTAAAATCGTGGTTGTGTTTTGTTTGCTTGAATGAGGCATAAGCAACACGTCTTCTTTGAATACACTGTAAAATATTTCTTATCTAGTCCCTGTGTTTATTTTTCATTACTATTTTATTACATGATGTTTAGCCAAAAAATCTCTAAAATATATAATATATATATTGTATATATTAATTTGGGGTGGTTTGAAAACAACTATAAGCTATAGTTAAACTGACTAACTAAACATGGCCACCACCACACTTGATCAACTAGTATAGCAATAAGAGGTGTGTTTAATAATCAGGTGTGTGGTGTATCATGATGTAATCACTAAGCCACGCCCCTTTTTAAGCAATTTGAGGACTTGATTTAAATTAATCTCATAGCTAAAACCCTACACTGTTGTTTTACTCAGAAATACTCCATATGACGTTTACAACACTGTACCTTGTGTGCTAGACAATACATTAGAACGTGATTCTGACATTATCTGGTATTCAAAACTCCTAAAACAGATGGAAACAAGCTATAAGAGGTTTGTTAGTTGATTTAAAAGAACGATTAAAAAAAATGTACATCAAAACCAGGGTAAAAATAAAGTTCTTCAAGAGGCTTTTTGCCGTCTCAAATTTGAGGTTTTACTTAATAATCAGGAAAAGGAGTTCTGAACAGTCAAGTTACATCATGTGCTAGTAATTGACCATCATCAAGGCAAGTGTAGGCCTGATGTTTCCTTAAGGACTTAAACTTCAGAGGATTTTGTATAACGTTTGAGTTTGGTCAAATCATTTTTCTTCTTCCATTATTTGACCTTATTATGAGTAACCAAAGATCATACAGCACCAAGTAGGATGGATAAGGATGCATGATCAACACCTGCAGCAGGCTCAATCTTCCTGAAATGTCCAGTATGTTAAAATCCTGCTGTCCATTATCATTTTGTGAAGATCATTTTATGTCAAACCATGAACAGATCTATTCACAAGTTTTCTGCCTTTTGTCGGAGAAGGCTTAGCATGAAGTCCATTGTTAAGTATTGAATTGTGGAATTTTATGATTTCTGCCGTTTCTTCAGCAGTATTATTGAAATGATGGTAAATTGCAGCCAGTCCCAGGGACGTTTTATTCGAAAGAAACAAAGCCAAATGAACACCAAAGATGTATAAAATGCGCTTTGTTCATCAGAGGGAGGGAGGGAGAAAGGACTCCACTCAGCGAGCTCTGAATGCTGCATTTCATGCCTGCAACAATTATGCTGAAAGGTCAAGTATTACAGCATCTTGCGCTCCGCTTTGCATGCAAAGTATTTCAGCTCACAAATGACCCTCGCTTGCGCTCTTTTAACAATGGCTTCAAGAACCAGATAAACGTAGGACAATTAAAGATTTTTGCTGCAAGCTGACAAAAACATTTACCAAAAGGGGGTGATTGCAGTTGCTGAGTAATTGTCCTATTTGTGATGCACATGAATGCTTTGGCCTGCTGCAATGAAATGTTAAGGAACTTAAGAAAGAGGAACGAGAGCGGCTGTGGTTTAAAATTAGAAAGAAACATGCAAGCTACTACTAACCGGGTCATTAGTGGACTCCCTTCCCGGCTTAAAATGCGTGTCTGGTTACGCTAAAAAATGAATAAATATCTTTTTTGTTGATTTTGTAAAGTAACATCATAATAAAACTAACTACATATTTCTCGTTAGTGTTTTCTATTTATTTCAGCACCGTGGACAGCAGCCGCATATTCCATCTTCAACCAAGAAAACTATAAACGATTTAAAACAACAGCCATTGTGTTCACTGCTAACAGTGGAAACCTATATTTGTATGTTGTGCATTTGTTTTATTTCAGGTCGATTAGGGCTTTATTAATCAGAGTGCCGTGTTAACGACACTCAGGTATTCGTGATCCTCATTCCGAAATTCACATGACACGTTCAATTCAAACCAATCCGCGAAATCAACGTTTTTTTGTATTCCTTATAACATTTTTTTATATTTTACTTCTGTTGCTTTATGTTTTTCCTTCATGGATATTGACATTTTATTCACCCATACAAATGTAAGTTTTAAAACCGTAACTCCTCTTTTGGATCATTGGTGCAGACATATTCATCCTGGAGTGATTTAATTATTTTAAAGTGTGAGGATGTGATGTACTTGACGTGTGCAGCGACTTCCCCAAACTGCACCAGGTTACATTTTAGAGAATTTCCCTGAGAAAAGAGAAAACCCTGAAAACGTACCAATTATCATTTTTGTTTAGAAAAATACGAAAATAATAACACGACTAAATCCGGATTATCCCAGATCCTGATTATTTGTGGACACGGGTATTTTTAAGGTTAGTTTGTCAAATCTGCCCTGTAAGAATCCAACCGCATTCTTTGAACCGATCAATGGTGCTTTGCTTTTTGGCGTCATTGTAGAGATGCAAATCAACTACCATGCAATTTATTGCTGCCTCCATTTTAAGTCGTACACGTGTTTGATACCCCCTTAAGTGTAAATTCAGTCTTAGAAAGCACTGATACATAAAACCCGATTTCTGTATGCAACACATCATCCAAAAATTGATACCGAAGCTAAACAGGGGAATAAAATTCAACAGCCAGTCGCTAACTCAAATATGATTACCTTGAGATTAGGGACTAATTGCTTGGGGTTCATGGAGACCAGCCCACCATAAAGCCAGGAGGACTTGTGGAGTTGCACTGTGGGTTTCTACAAAAGAGAGCGATGAGAGCACACGCTTCCAACAAGTCATTCTCAACAGCTACAAGCTGCGCACAAAGACCACACACCGCGCCAAAGACATGTTAATGCAATCCCAAAGTTCTCACTTTCTCTCGTACAAAAAAGCTCTGCAAAATGTCTGAAGATAGTTTCTGACGCTGGTAAGATTTCACTTAAAAGCCCCCAAAGGAGCTTTGTGGGAGGATTGCCTGGTGGCCCTAAATTGCTGCTGCTGCTGCTGCCTTAAAGGGGTACACACAAATTAGAGAAGGTTGGTTCGCTCTTCGATGGAAAATCGCATCTTCAGTAAAAGCCTTTTTAAAGTTAAAATCCGAAAATGAAAAGTTCCTAAAAGGATTCACTCCAGAAAAAAGTGACTTAATGCTTTTAGAGCCCAATAGGTTACACTTGTGAAAAAAAAAGTAGAATATGAGCAAAATGTGCCGTTGAGTCAAAGCCATAACAACAAAGAAGCTTCTTTTTTTAACGATTTCTTCAAAAGAGTTATACATATATAACATCAAAATAATGATAATCAGATGTGCAGTATATTTCATGTATATTTACAGTATAGTGTCTTATGTTATGGATGAAAATAAAAAAACAGAATGAGCTCACATATATAAATCACGCCTCCATGTAAAAGGCAGGTATTAGAAGAGACACATGGAGTCAAGACCTTTGGAAAACATGCACCATCAACTTTTTTAGCCCGACCAACTTGTGGTAAACTGTTTTTTCGTGGAAATGAAAGGACAAAGCTGATACAGTTGATTGAGAGCTGTGTCCGTTCTTATTCTATATTAGAATTAAAAACGTACAAAACAACTAATTCATTTTTGGTGCAATCTGAAATTATAAAAGGATGCAGGTTCGAAATGGCCACATCGCCTGCGAGTAGCTCAAGCGCTTTCGGAAAAAAAGTCTGATTTATTTCAAAACGACCAAGAACCACCTAGAAATAATTGTAGGTCTATTTTTAGTTTACGCTTTAAAACGCACTTAAAATGCAGTATAGAGGTTTTTTTTTATTTTTATCCAGACAAACATAGTTTGACCTAAAAAATGACAAAAAGGTCAATAAATATAAATCCATTCAGGGTGGATTGCATCTTATTCAGACCAAAACTATGTGAAATGATATAGGACCCGTGACAACACCAAATTGACAGCAACTTATTTTCAGCCGTAATCGAAAATCAACCCCCGTTACTTCCGTCGCTTAGCAACCACGCTGTTTACTGTTAATACCTATAGCGCTATTAGGTGGCGGGAGAATGGCCCCTAATGGTTATTATAGCTTTTATTTACAGAGCCTACAATTTAGGAGAAAAGAGACTGGTCGTATTTTCTATTATCGCGTCAGTTTGAAAAAGCACAACCCCCCCAAAATACAGTCTAATCTTTAAAGAAATATTTGGGATGGTCTGTTATTGACACCGGACACAAACAGGCTTTTGCCGTTTCCTTTCAATACCCCTGATTGATTATTGACAAACCAGCTGATACACCTCCCGCGCCGACAGTTCGGCCTCGCGAGCTATTTGAGAAGAACACCGCGCTGTTTAGTCAGGGATTTCATCGATAAGCTTTTCTTTGAGCAGCAATCGCGTTTGATGTCGGGAGGCGAAAAGACCTCACCTTTCTGACTCACACAGTCAAACACAGAGAAAGAGAAAAGAAAAAGCTCATAAAGGGTCCGTTTACTCTGCGGGGCACGCTTGTGTGAGCTTCAGCCTGTGAAGATAAGCCTGGACGGAAAATATAAAACAGAAAAATAGGCTGGGGAATTTAATGTCATGTCAGATTAAGAGCCCGGGTGTTGATATTGTATTTAGTCCTGCAAGTTCGACAAAACATATTTTATGTCTGGTTATATTTTCCTCGCATCAAGCCCAACAATAATTCGTTTTCTTTATAAATGCCAAAACTCTCATGGTAGAAAACTAGAAACTATAATAATAATAATAATATTAATAATAATAATAATAATAATAATAACGATAATAATAATACCGCACTGTGTTTTGCTCTTCTCACATTTTTCCAATAAGAATATTTTTGCCATTTTAGACCCGGTAAATAATGACATATTTCACAAAAAAAAGATTAACTATCTTGTTTCCATAATTTATTAATAGGACTGTTTTGTTGTAAGTCAAATATCTATATAAGTTACAAAGAAATTAAACGTACAAATACCAATAGAACGACAACAAACCGTCAACAGCGTCAAAAACTTTTTACAACAGATAAGCTAAAATTCAAACCTCTTACAGAAATATACAAGCTAAATCTACGGCTTACATTAAATTCTATATAAATCAGAGTCATGTGTGTTTGTGGAGGGGAATATAACAGCACCCGTGTGCACAGTTTCCCAGTTCAGGTTCACTTCTCCAAAATTTCTGCGGCCTCTATAACTGATGATTCATCTTTTGTCTCAATATAATTTACATAAATAAATCCCAAGACTTCCGCAGTTTCTGGTGAAAAGTGTTTTCCGCTCGCTTCCTTCCGTCGAAGTCACACTTCCTTCCAAAAGGGGAAAATTCAAGAAAAGCTGCGCCGATTTCACTCGGCTCTTGTTCGGATGCGCACACTTAGAGTAAAAAGATGTCTTGTGTTTTTTTTCTTTCTTTAAATATAAGAATCGGTTTGAACAGCCGGCGCCTCTTGTCACCACGTCCTCCCGTACAACAGCGCCGAACACTGCAGCGCCGAGCCGTACTCTGCGCCGGGGGAGTTGAGGTGAGAGAGGCCGGCCACTTGGCTCTGCAGGGACGGCGGACTGGAGGAGTGCGGCGCCATGTCCGGCGAGTGACCCGTGCTTCCCACCTGCTGGCTCTGGTGCTGCCCGACGAGCCCGGACGCGTTGTTGGACATGATCATGACATTCCCCCCTTGCTGGTGAAGGTTCTGCGCGGAGGAGGAGGTGGGCGTGTGGTGGCCGCTGCCTTGACACGGCTTGCCGTCCTTCACCAGCACCGGCACGGCCACCCTCCGCGGGGATTGCTGCTGCTGACAGGAGCCGCCGTCCTGCTGCATCTGCTGCTGGGACACTTTGTCTTTGGCCTGCCTCTTCATCTTGTACCGGTGATTCTGAAACCAGATTTTCACCTGGGTCGGGGTGAGGTGGATCATACTTGCCAGGTGTTCCCTCTCTGGCGCCGAGAGGTACTTCTGCTGCTTGAAGCGGCGCTCCAGCTCGTAGACCTGCGCCTGGGAGAACAGCACCCGTCTTTTTCTCCTCGGGGTGCTGGACAGCGAGCCCATGCCTTTACCCACGTCCGCCAGGGAGCTGAGGCTGCCCATGCTGCCCATGTTCATGCCCGATGGCGAGCCCATGAAGCGAGAAACTGGTGGAGGAAAAGGACGTGTAGATATTAGTGTAAAAACTGCTGACTTTACCAGCAACAAATACTCACGACATAATCCAGCTTTAAGGAATAAAGCATAAAAGAAAATTGGTTTTGAGAGCGATGACTGGTCTGTTGCGATGAGCGATTATACCGAGTTTATACGACTACAACCCCGATATTTATTTCCATCACTCAATACAGTAAATTATAATTAAAATACAAAGTCGAGTAAAAAATAAAACGAATGCGTGTCAAGGTCCATCTCGCACATTATCAGACTGTACAAACTGTACAGAGGTCAAATGGAGAAAACGACTGCGACTGAGAGCAGCAGATTATTATTGGTTTAATATGATCACGGATTCAACATTAAATGATAGTTTTGGCGCGAAAGAATCTTAGAATCTGTCATTGGGGTGGTTGGGTAAAATGCATGCTTTTGCACCCTTTTCCTCCCGTATAATAAAACCAAAACCCAGAGAGTGAAACAGAGCAGTGCGCACTCTGGCGTGAAGGAACAAACGCCATAATACAGCAAAAAATAAATAAATAAATAAAACAGGTGCGTGCACACGGAACCATGAAACCCAAACCGGGGTCAAAGTACAGGTGCGGGCTCTACTCACTGGTGGAGAAGCGCGGGTCCGGGTTGGCTCCGTACCAGCCGGTGGCGGTGGTGCTGCCCCTCATGCCGTCCTGGTACGACGGCAGGTCGCCCATGTTGCCCAGGTTGCCGTTACAATAGCCCCCCATGGCCGTGTGTGACAGCTGAGAAACACCTGCCGCGGTCATGTGGTAAGCCGCAGACACAGTCCCATTATGGCCCATGTGGTGCTGCTGCATCGCCGCCTGAGAGACCTGCGGCTGCCGGTAAGAAGTGAGAGGTGCCCCCAAGTTGTTATTCTCCATACTTACTTTCTTATAGCTCTCCTCAAGGGGACTCAAGATATCGGAAACTGAAAAAGGAGTCGAATGCTTAGGGCTCATCGACATTGTTCTGAGGCTGGAGAGCGAGAAATTAGAAGGCAAGGCAATCTCTCCTTCTCTTCTCTTTTTTTTCTTCTTCTTCTTCTTCTTTTTTTTTTTTCTCGTTGGCGAAAGCCCCTCCGGTTCCTGTTGTCTCAACGTCGATCCTGGTAGATGCACACGTAGGAGAACGCCTCAAGTCCGCCTTAATTGGATTGAGTGGGAGCTCGGCGCTGGCTTTGGTTTGTTTTAGCCGGGTGCCAGGTTTAAGGCTACCGTCGGAGGCGGGGCCTCGGCAACAATACCACGCGGCTCTAGCCTCCTCGCGACGAGCGCGATTTCACTTTGCGAGACATGTGCTTCCCCTCCCACCGACAACAACGTCGGCGCCGCACATGGTCACGAATGCTCGTGCCTGCGCGCCGCACGCGGCCCGCCGGCCCCGCGCGTCCCGCTTTATTCGGGAGTTTGCGGAGTCTTGCGCTGTCACTCAGGAGCGCGCCGCCGCACCTTGGGACTGCACTGACCACAATTCACTTTATTAACTGTAGTGATGTTTACGAGGGCCTCTTGATGAAAAGAGGCCTATATGGACTCGAGAGTTGGAGAACCACTCCTCGGTTGAACTACTGACTTTTAATGGCCACGAGAGGCCACCAGTGATTGCGGGATTGTTTGTGTTATGCCTTATCGTACTCAGACATGCAAAAGTGCACTTGCGGGGAGAGAAATTGACTGATACTGATAAGTAAATAAATACACATCCGCGTGTTAAGTGGCCGCGTAAATGATTAACCTCCCTTCGTTTTTTTTTTTCTTCATATTTTGAGATCATTGGGCGAAAGCAGCGTATTAGATGCACGGAGACCCGCCGGGAAAGAAAAAAAACACAAGCAAATACATCGGGTGGAGAGTGGGAGAGGCTCTCGTGTGAAGTTAAGGGCGTTCAAGCACTATTCTGCAGCAGGTAGCCCTCAGCAGCGTCTTGCCTTAAAGCTCAAGGAGCCAGTTTCACTCAGTCACATCTCATTTTCTGAAGTTTTACACATGGAGAACATGAAACGGTTTTGGCTACATCCAACCAGCTTTGAGCTCAAGGAATAGAATTGAGCGCGCTTTGTCTCAGAGCCCAATCTTAGGCTACGCAAGGTGAAGTTTGTGTTATTTCTTTCTTTTTTTTTGCAGGACTTATACGCTTCAAATGTGTTGTTTTGATTGAACGAAATACACGTGCTTACTTTAATAGCAGTTGCATCTACTTCTTCTCCACTTCATATTCTATTTCTTCTTCTTGGATTCTATTGAAATAATGTATTAGTATTTATTATACATAATTACTATTACCAGTAGGGTTTTTTTTTAAATCACGTGCAAATATAACTTGTCGTCAATATTTGAACGTTAAGCAATACATAAAAGTGAGTTATTGTCATGACCATTCGGTTACCACTGTATCCTGTCCGCTGCATTTTAGGAGCGCAGTGAATACATTTAAATTGACGCATTGACTTCTAACTTACACAGTCTGTTGATGTCAGGATCACGCCGGAGCTCATGTGGCTACAGTCAAAAAGACAACAAACCAAAGTAGTAAGTATTATTAGAAATGTATTTCCATCTCGTAAAGGTCTCGCCAGTAGGTCTGACGTCAGTGGTGCAGCAGCAGCAGCTCCTAACAGAAGAAGTCTGCGCCTGCAGGTGGAGGCGACATCTCCTTGTAGGAGTTGAAGAAACACAGCGTCTTCTGGTGGCGGACATAATAATGTGACATGTCGTGATCAGCTTGTATTCCACCGTTACTCTCAACACGAGTTCCTGGTTTCATTTTTCTATTTTTCAAATCTGATTTCTTAATAAATATAGATTAAATCTTTTTTTTCATTTAAACACTCAAATGAATGCTGAGGACCCCTCGGTAACATGCTGTCACATGTCAGCTGCAGGCCCGGTGGAAAGACCCACTGCTGCGGCGGCATGCAGATCACAGACAGGTCGTCATGCGAATCATCGGCCGCAGTTTCTTGCTGCATATTTCACGGCAGCTCGCACGTCATTGCAGGGGAGTATGTGCAATATCTGCAGCGCTTCATGGAGGTGCACAATTATCTTTAATGAAGCAATATTGTCTTATATTTCTAGGCTCAATATTAGAATTGAAATAAATTGTTTGGATGCTAGCCGAGTTGCATGGCGCATAATTCACAGGCCATATAATCGCTGCAATTAAAATTACAGCATGTTTCTGCATCCAAGGCAAATCTGGTTCATGCGTGCCTTAATTAAGGAATTTCGCAAGATATTTTTAATCATCTAAATCAGTACCTTTCCCCTGTTCTGGCACACGGATATTAAGGCCAATTAGCGTAATTAGTCCAAATGTTGCAGCTAATTTCTCAGAATAATGAGGACATTGAAGTGGCGGGCATGAGGCTATAGCGAGCCTTTGTTATTGAGGCTTCACGTTGTTTTTTGTGATTGGTGCAACAGCTCACGGTGAACAAGAAGAAAAGAAGAAGAAATAACGGAAAGTTGCTGTTATTATTTACCACAAAGCAATAACAGTTTGTAATAAAATGACACGTGTATACGAATATGTCACTTTATACACCATATACAAATACATCTCTCAAGTGAGAAAAATCTCTCTCCAGGTCCATGAACACTTTGTGACTCCAATCCACAAATCTCCAAAGGAATGCAAAATAAATCATTCGAATCATGCTATATTTCCGCCATTATAAACATACAATATGAGACAAATTTTAATACAAATGCTTAATATGTCCATGGCCGCATGCTATCCACAAAACAGAGGACCATATTCAATCTAAGTGTAACAAATGTAAGGTAATGGCCGTTTGTTCTCCAACAGTCTCGGCTCCCCTGAGGATTTATTTTCCCTTCAAACCCTTTTATGACTTTTTCCGAAAAAAAAGAAGCTCTCTCCTTGTGTGTCTTTCTCTCTGTCAACAACGACTGTTGCCAGGTAAGGAAGAAGACACGAAGAAAGAACCATCACACACAAGCCTTAATTTCTCTCTTTCAAAAGCGAAGTCAGATTGATTCATGCAGCTGATAAACCCCCAGTTATCCAATCAACTCTCATCAAAAACAAGCGCTGTCTCTGAGCCTCCATCAAGGCAAACAGTCAACCATCACAAAGGGACATTACAAACTACTAATATCAAAGGGCAATACGGATGCATGACGTCACGACAAGTGGGCAAGTGGGCAAGTAGGCAGACAGCAGAGTGGGTTCATTTTTTGTTTTTGTGAGTGAAGGACGGCCTCTAGTGGATCACAGGCAGCTCTCAGCCAAAGACTCGGATCGGTGACGTTTACTTCAGGAGGGGAGACGGATACAGTGTGTTAGGGCGCCATCTAGTGGGGAGCTGAATCTCACATAAACCCACAATCCACCATGAATGTCAGTGGGTCACTACAATTAACAGTTTAAAGTATTATTTGAAACTTTATTGTTATTATGTACTAATCCGTATATATTTGACCTTTTAGTAGACTTCATACTGTGTTGCTATATTTTTTTATAAATTGTACACTATATATTTTATAATTAATACGGATAACACTGTCATTACATATGAGTCTGCTGACTTTGCTTTCATCAGTCGCATCACACATTGTTAGCGTTTGTTTCATTTCAAGTTTTAATTTTTACATCTGATTTTGTTGTGTACATCTACTGTCACCATCTATCTGTACTAATTTCCATCCTTCTGAAAGCACATTAGCTAAGCCTTTTGTCTGACCTTTGACCTTTAAAAAACAGACATACGGGCTAAACGTTAAAAAGATCTTTCACAACTGACATCATTAGAACATTTAAAGAATCTTTGATTTTAATGGTATTTACTTCTGGGGCACAAAGGTGTGTTTTCACTCCCGTTAAATGGTTCTCAATAGAAGCATTGATGTCTATGAGATAAATCACATCATATGGTTTTGATGTTTTCTTAATTTGGTCTGATATCTCTTGTGAAATATACTTTTACCTCCGCTTTCCTCAAAATGGTTTCATAATGAAACACAAAAACTAAAAACAAATCCCTGTTTCATTGAACTGCTGACAACAACAAACACATGTCACTAAATGAGTTAGAAGAAAATGCTTTTTTAAACTGAAAACCGTTTGACCCGACGTTTTAATTTATTTTGGACATCACTGAAATAATCTCATTTTGAAAATACAATTACAAGAGAAATTCATAGAAATACCCTAAATCAGCGTGAACAGTGTGAAAAAGTAAATCCACATATCTGTGTGGATTTACTTTTATGTAAATGTGGATTTACAATTTTTCATCTTGAAAAAATGAATAAAAACAATGCAACCAAATCAATCCTTCTACACAAAATCTATGTTAACACAATGCAGTTGCACCACTTAAAAGGCTTCATTAAGCTGCCGCAGTTCAATACAAACTTTAACATTTTCCCATCAAAAGGCTTTTATCCTCACTCTGTATTTTAGACTTGCAGCACAGGATTCAGTGCTCACTCCTGACGCACGTTAATAAAATTATAATGTAATCGTCGGTGTTGTACTATATGGGCAAACAACAAAAAAGCTTTTGTAGTTCCATGAATGCTGGAAATATAAAATAATTGAAAGCTAAATAATCTAAAACAATTGTCATTTTGCAACTAAATAAACTAAAAATTGTGAACGAGACAAGCAATAAACTGTCATATTTTATGAATGTCGTGTCCTATACTGGATGTTTTCAGACATTTATAACATATATACAGCAAAACGCTTGACGGTGAAGGATCTTTTTCATCGTTTAAGCAAACAACTCTTTGGCCATGAGGGCCATTAGGACCTAATAGGCATTACATGTTATCTACAACAACTTAACAAAACGTCTCCTGTGGCCTCGTTTATGCGAACCGTATAACTTTCCTAAAAGGGGCCCCGGGGCCGTCCAGTGGGTAAAACTATAGGATGGCCTGGCTAATACAAACTCATCCTTTGCAGACAATTCCTCTGACCAACTTAAAAAACCAATGGCAACCTCTAAAAGCCTGTCTTTGTCACCCTTAAACCCCAAGATGCTCTAAAACACCATTGTGCAGTTAAACCTCATAAATTTGTCGCAGCGACTGATTAAACATCACGGGAATTGAAACACTAAAGATTTTGTCTTGGTCCCTTTTGGATGAGGGACAATGGTCCATTCACGGGGAGACACGCAGACAAAAAGAGTGTTTAAGGGGAGATGCAGCGGGCTGAGGGGTTCGGCCAGTCCCCTCCATATGTGATACAAGGTGGCCTCAGTGAGGGGGACAAAGGACCAGGTGACAGTGACGATGGGCTGCAGGGTCACAGGACGAGCAAACAACATTATAGGGGGCGTGAAAGCAGAAGACCCCCCCCCCTCGTCCCTGACGAAAAACTGACACGTTTTTAAACACTGAAGCATATTTTTCC